GTTTAGGTCGCTTAGGCTGATTTAAGGTTTGATGGTTAAATCTCATAAAGTGAAACGGGTAGGCCTCATGAAATTACCTTTCGCATAGCCTTTTCTCGTAAAATGTTTTCACATTCAGGCTGGACTAAAATTTTATCTCCTTGATCGTAGTTTTCATCACCATCCTCACCAATATCATCACAAATTTCATCATCTCTCCTGATAGGATTCAAAACCGGTTCGTAAGCATGAGACAGACACGTTGCTATTTCTCTCCGTTGGGGATGCTGACAAGGCCTAGGAGGAAGAAAACTGCAGTTCACCCTGGGAGAGAGAATCTTTTAGTCTAAATGGTTGAGTAGAATTAATTAATGTAGTGAAGTCTAGTTATTACATTTTGGAAAATTTAACTATTAGAAAGTAAATCAACTTAGGGACATTTTGAAGAATTTCTTAACATAAAACCGGGCCTGCTTGGTCAAGAAAGTCATTTTTTTATGTAACGCAATGATCTTAGGAGAAAACGTCTGACCTTCAATCGACACATCCGCATTTCTAATCTCAGTGCCATGTTGATGTGACTTGATCGAGAATAAAGTTGCATTTCGGTCTGGAACATCGTGAGCAGACTCGCTTTACTCACTCCTAACACTAAGCGATATACAGCGTTTCTTATTAAGCCTCGAGTCATAATAGCCGAGGCTGCATAAAAGTGGTTTGCTGTGGTTTTCTTATTTTGGTCTTGTTGCCAGGGCGACCTAGATGAACTTATCCTGTATGGAATCTCCTGTCATTGCAGTAGTGATAATATCCTCTATCGGACCGTGGACTTAGTACATTCCCAGACATCTGGCCAGTATCGTAGTCGGCATCTTCAGTGAACCCTACCATTCTTAGCACCAAATTGCAAGTTGTCAAAGATATAAAAAGTAAAATTATAGCTTTAGAATGTTTTGAGCTGGTCATTAATTCTTGAATAAGAGCTTATGTCGCTTAAGCTTATTTAAGGTCTGATCGTCTCGTTAAAGTTTGTAATGGCGATGCTCCTTTAACAAGTTTCTATTCGGTGCAAATAGTGGAAATCCTCAGTTTCAATGCCGACTCTGACGTTGACGAAAAGTTTTGGTATGTAGCAAGTCCATGATCCGTAACTGGGACTTATCATGACTATGAGAGGTGGGTTCATCTGGTCGCCTTGACAACAGAAAAATGTTGTGACAACGAATTCAAACTGCTTATATGCGCAAGTGCGTTGCAGGGCTTGTATTTCCCTTAGTCTTTGTTCCAAATTGGTTTCGCACTTTCGCCTACGTTTGGGCTAGGTACAAGCCTTGGTGAGCGCTTCAAGTAGCAAAGTTATCACGATGGGTAGTGGGTCCCCTCGCGGCAGATGTGTCTTTCAAGATAAGCCAAGCCTCTCTTATTTCACAGCTCCATATTGGCTCTGTTTTCATTAGGGCTAACATGTATTTGTCATTGGCTTTAATCACAATGTATTAATGAGAATAAGAGGCAATTAAATACCATTTGGAGTATTTATGAATACCAGACGTCAGGCCATCCATGCAAGAAAAGCCTTTTAGGAGGAATTCAACTGTATTGCGGAACCTTGTTCACATTTCATTGTGAGAAGCGGAACTATCATTCATTCTATCATCGTAAACTACCTAAGCTGACTCAGGCCCTTATGAAGGCTGCTGCTAAGTTTGGTACATGTATAACTGTCATACCATGTATTAAAGGCACTTCAATATAACACTGAATTGGCTGTCTGGCACTCGCCTCAGGAAACGTCGTGACACCTTGTTTTGTAGAACCCAGCCTTGCATACGACATGTGGGACACGAACATAGAGCTCTATATACGCATTACCAGCTGCGGCTGGAATAAAGTCTTAGGCATGTCATTCCGCTTCTACCCTCTGAAGGGCTCAGACTGCATCCCGACTCATGCCAGACTGAGATCTCCGAAATGCTCAGTATGGTCAGAGTCCATCAACATTGTCCGTAGTGACATGCAGTAGAAGTAGTCGTCGGTTGGTCGGCAAGCATTTTTGGAATCGTCAAGGAGCCTTGATTCCTGGACCTTCATAAGACGAGGTACGCAAGGCTCTTTTATCCTCATCCTTAAGTATTGCTGAATATGAGAGGTAACTGTGTTATAAACTTGTGGTATGTGTGCACGTTCATTAAGGTAAGTGTATAATTGTATGTGTGCTGGTAGGTGCCGTTTATTATGCATAATTTTAACCGTTATGCTCTACCATTTGCACATTAAGGCCTACATGCGTGTTGATTTAAAGTTGCCAGGCAGAGGAAGGCATTAGTTTTTGACAAAAATCTACCTACTGACTGCTCACCCTACCGGCATAACTGCTGGGGAATCGGATAGTGAAGTGGCCGCACGTGCCAACTCCTCATCTGCCCCCATTTATTCATCGTCTACTTCCTCTGAGTCCCAACCTTCCACCCTCTGCATTCGTGTGCTCCTCCTTGTACTCATGGGCACCTTTACTCTCCCGTCTTTCCGATAGCAACCCCTCTCGGACCATGTCGTTATCGGGGCCATCGGGCCTGATTACTCCTTGCATGGCTGTAGCAACACGGATGAGGGTGAATGCTGGCGAAGGTATGGACGGGGCCTCTGCCACTGGGTATGCGTTGAGTAGGCCAAGATGGAGGGCAAGTAAGGCCCATCTTTCACCCTGAGGTTGAACAGAGGCTCAGGGGAGGTGTTTACTCCGTCGAAGTGGAAAGGGATGTAGCTGGCTCCGGAAGCCAGGAGGCAAAAAGTAGAAATGGGAGTGTTCTTTGCCCTCGAGACTGCACACTCTGTCGACCTGTCTGAGAGGCCCTCAATTTGGGATCACATACATCCACCTCTGACTAATATCAGGGATCCCCCCGATAACCACATGCCCCTCCAAGGGTCAACCCTTGACTTGGTCAATTTCATGTTGCTCCCCTAACGTGACCAGGGATGCACACACACACACACACACAAGTGGACAAACATGCAGTTGACAAGACATAAGCCGAGGCTGATACTTCTTGCTAATGAGCACAACAGCATGCATGGAGGTCATAGCAATGAAAAATCTGACCTGAATTACGTTTTATGAGGGAAATATGCCATCATTCGATTGGTGCTTTGGGTCCTGACAGTCTATCCAGCCCAGTCGAATGGAAGAGGTTTGGTCAGTGTCTACCCCCAAGAGATCACGGATTTGCACTGGACAAGGGAATGAAAGATCAGGCTTTGAGCCTTGATCAAATGGTAAAGCGTATTGTTGTTGAGCGTGGTGACGACTGAACAATTTGTCTTATCCCAGCACTAGCCCTACTACGGAGGGTGAATTAGGAAAGGCCTGGCTTGCCCTGAAAATCACATCCGCTCTGTGGCCTCCTTGCAGGGGGAGAGGGCGGAGAGAAGGAGTTGTAATGTCACCATTTGAGGCCACAGATACGGCCTCGAATCCTGTCACTTCAATCCAGTTCAGATGAACGACTATTGTTGGATAAAAACGAAAAATCTTCAGCCCGCACATATCCTAAAACGACCCCAGGAGACTAAGACTATCATTTAATTTCTAGTCAAGTTGATACGAGTTTCAAAGCACAACCTCGATACTACTCACCTGATTTATTGCCCAGAAGTCCTCATTGCAATATCGCATTGTAGACCAATGACCCATTTGAACCATGGAAACCTACTACATGGGGGTATTATTCGCGGAATTTATGGCCAGGGCAGATACATGTAGTGAAATAGATGGCCTTAAATAGAATAGAACCACTGTGATTTCGGGTCAATTTGAATTTGTTTGCAAAATGGCAAGCGAAAGTTCAGCACCGACGGTCTCTGAATTGAGGCGATCCCAACAAAGATCTGCCCAAACGGAAGTTGAACAGAAAAAATACCATTACCTACTTCAAATTAGGCCGATGAACGGATCCCTCCAATGGGCATTTAAAACCATTTGTATATGAATCAATCTGGCCGAGGATTCAGCTTCTTCTTTGGTCGTCACCAACATGTTCATAAACGAAGTATTAGTTAAGGTGACGTATTCAGCCCAACACAGCCCCATCGAATAGGTCTTACTACGCCACAATGAAACGGCACATGTATCAAGACTAATAATTCATCCCTTCACAAACCCCTACATACATACATTTTACTTCCTTTGCTATCTGTCGCCATCCCTCCTTTTTAATAATGTAGGTCAACTGGCAGAAGGCATACATCTCACATATATCATAATCATAAATGCAGATTTTAAATTATTCTACATAAACTATCCCCACAAAGCTTAAGTCGGAAATAGTTGCTTTAAGACAATCTGGCCCTCCGTGCTATACTTCTCATTCGTAGGACAAGTTTCAACCGTTATTACAATTGTCATCTTCACTTATGTGTGAGGAGGACACAGCCGCCGAGTTATCATGCTTTGCCAGATATTCGGCTCATCCTACTGATCTTTATTTCTGACACTATCAAAGGATAGTGCTAACTGACCATTTCAGCATTTATTCCCATCTGTACTACTCCCCCCGGTACAGAAGCCCAATTCCTACCCTTGATAAGTGTGAACGG